ATCCTTGGACCTACAGCTATTTGTGTAAAATTGTCAGTGTTCTAGCCAATAGAATGATAACTAGTGACCATCTCCAGATAATGCTCAGAAATTTTAATACATGGCAATTGCTTTTAGCTGGATTTTGGTTATAATATAACATCGTTCTCTAAAGTTTACCAGTTAAAATTAAATGGGGTTAAGTTGAAGAGCTTCTTAATTTCGTGTAAGATGAGGATTCATTGTCGTACGAAGCAATTTCATTTGGAATGGGGCAAGTTTGAAGAACTTCTTGACCCAACAAGCACAACTACTTGAGAAGAAGGTAACGCATAAAACAATGATCAAAACCAACCCATCAGAAGAAACGTTTGAAAGAAGACCATGAAAGGGGCGCCGAATTATTTGCTGCAATAACAATAGCTGAACTCAACGAAACATGATCTTGTATAAATCAGTACAACATAATGAAGCACAACCAAAGAATCAAGAACCCATAAGCAGAAATCCAGAACGAAATTATAAATACCTGGGCTAAATTGATGATAGACTGCCTAAATCTGGGGTGCAACGCAGCTTGCTTCTTGAGCCTATTACCAAGTGGCTTGCTCAGAGTTTTCAACACGAGCGTTCCGAGCTTCAGTACCGGGAGTACCATGACTACAACGAATAAATTCGGTAATCTGATTCGAAGGCTTCGCTTTTGCTGTTCTTCGGGAATTAACAACACACGGTCAGAGCCAATGAATGTCAACGAATTGAATAGTCAGAGAAGATGAAGACAAGCCATTTGCGATCGAGGAACCGTTGGAGCGAAGTCGCCAAATTGGCAAATGGTTTAGGTTTCCCGCGAGCAATATTTGACGAGGGAATTCCGAAAATTATTTTCCCCATATAAGATTATTAATTTTTTTCTCGCAAAAGTCGATGTGGGACGTCATAATTAAGCGGAAAACATATAGAAAATTAAATAAATGAAAGAATATATTGTTAAAGCAGGTTGTCATGGGCTCAACGGGAAACGGCTAAATGGGTCTCCATTGGGCCAGCCCAAATACTAGCTAATAGGCAACACGAAGCCCAAATCTAAATGGGCCGCCTTTCTACCTCTTCACAATTTCAATACTCAATTATCTTCTTTATTGCTCTTAAATATCTGGTGTCATACTTTTCGCTAGTCACCGGTCCGTCCATCCGGTCCGATCCGACGCATGAAATGACAGTGAAAGCTGAGAGAGCTTCACAAGTAGCCAAGCCGACAATGTCTGTTCGACAAAGACCGGTCTAGTTCCTTTTGGCAAGTCGTGCGTGGGTCCGCTTCTCCACAAACCGTATGCCACGTGTACCAACCACATCCAAATACGAATCCTCGTTGGAGCTTTCGAGGTTGTTGCCACGGTAGCGCTCTGGATATCGAACATGTGGACAGTGGCGCGTGAGTAAAAGGTGAGATGAACGAATGGAAGCGGGCGGGCGGGTGTAAAGTACGATGAAAGGCTGAGACGACAAGGAGCAGCAGCACCCGCGTAAAAGTCGAGGGTTCTCTCTGCCAACAAAGACAATTGCTTTCTCTGATCCTTGCATTCCCCCCTTTTTTTCTTTTCGTTTTTTTCCCTTCCCCTTCGTTCTCACGCTTCTCCCCGCGCGTGTTTGTTAAACCCCCCGCATGTTCTCTCGCTTTATGCTACACGCGCTATACCTATAACTTATTTTCATCGTTTTCTTCGCAGATGAACAATATGCGAGTGCCACCGATTTAATTTTAAAATAATCTAATTTGTTCCCTTCTGGCTTAATATTTAATAATTCTTCCCTCTCCCAAATTCTCTCATTCTCCATTAAATTAATAATTTTATTTTAAATCTTAAATTATTCTCTCTTTAAATTAATATTTTTATTTTAAATCTTAAAATAGTCCAAGCCTTATTTCACCCTTCTCTTCGGTAAAATTTCAACCAAGCTTTCGAGTTAAATTCTTGTTCAACAAAGCTATCAAATACATTAATTAACAAAAGATAAAATTATTATTTACCCTATACTTTAATGCAAATTTTCATCAAATTTTTTTTTTATTATTTCAACAATGCATTTTTAATATAAAAATTAATACATTATCTACCCAACTATAATAGAAAATAATTGTATTTGAACTATTTAATATCAAGTAAAAAAAATATGTATCTCAACAAGTTTATACCATAAGGGTATAAATTTGTAGGGTCGCCACAATGGCCCCTCACATCTCTATAATGAACTTCAACAAAGTAGATGTACTTTTATTTCGGTCAAACAAAAATTACATGTAAATCCAAATTCAAACGTTACTTTTTATGTTGTTCCAATTTTGGAGTGATGCAGTGAAACCAGTTCGTGCAAATGATATTAATTATTCATTATAACCTATAGTCTTGACTTTGAAAATATTGACCAAAATAACAAAATTGACGGTGAGTAAAATAGATGGTGAATTAGATAAATTATGGTATTTTATTTTAATGATTGTCATTAAAACGACAAATTGACGTGTCCAGAGGGAGGGGCTAAGATTTGATTTATTTTTTTCCCTTCCTTATCCTTTGCCCCTATGCCCTGCACGTGAGGCTCCCACAATAATTGACATGAAGGTACCAGTTCTAAAATTATTCATACCACTTGATTTAAAATATATAATTTAATTCAACATTATTTCATATTAAAAATCACTGACTATATTATTAACAAAATATTTTATGGAATATAGAATAAGGTAAACAAAATATGTAACCGTCACCATGGAAATTAAAAGAATAACAATAAATTTTCAAAATTACTTTCAGCCACCCTTTTAATTTATTTGTTTCCATAAATAGTGAAGCATTTTTGGTGGAAATAAAATTGGATGACATAAACCCACCATTTTAAAAATATTTTCGTTATTTTTAAAAAGAAATTATAAAATAATGTATATCTCGATAGCAACGTTCATTGATTGTGGGTTTAATGTAGTGAATGATGATGGTATTGATTAAAAAGAGATACCCATGAATCATAATAGTTAATATTATTAATATTATTATACAAAGCTAGTGGGTAGGCCGTAGGGCTAGGGAGGCCTACAATTTTAAAAAACCTTATAATTAAAACAGTATCTGTATTAACTAATGTAGGTTCCCAATAGGCAAAAGGCAAAGCCTTTCATTTTTGGTACAAACAAAAGTTACCTCCATTTTTCAAGTACAAATTTGTTTCATGTCTCGAAAAATTATATAATGATGTTACGTAACAGTTAAAAGCATATAATATATGATTAGAGATATCGTATCCATAATAAAAATGAATTAATATTTTTTAAAAACTTAAATCATACTAGTCATGTGATTAGTAGTTGAAATAGTATATGATATTAATTATACAATATAACTTAAATAAATATATGTATAAATAAGAGTTTAAAAGTACAAATATCCTATTATTAGATTACATCATAACTCATACGGTATTATACAGCTATAATTCGTTAACAGCGAGTTGCCTCTTGAAAAAAATCAATTTTACGTGCATAAATAATACATATGATACTTGTATTAATTGAAAATAATGTTATTTAGATGAATAAAGGGATTGAATTCATAATTTAAAAGATTTGAATTAAATGTAGAAGGATTGTTTGAGTGTCACGAGGGGAGTAGAGCGCGTGGGGTTGATAAAAGGGGGTTTCCAGCAAAGGCTAAAAGCAGAGACTGAGAGAGAGCCAATTGGGTATTGAGTTGTAACCCGTTTTGTCCGGGTTATGGATGGAGCCCCCTTCTAATCGCATGTATTTTATCTTTTTATTTTATTTTTATTTAAATTAAATTTATTTGTAATATAAATAAAAAAAATAAAAATAAAAATGGGGGTCTGGGTAGCCCTGTGGTTTGGGTTTATTGCAATTGATGGCTCTGAAAGGGACCTGCCATTCTCATATTACTATTTCACACATTTGTCCTCACCTTCTTCCATTTTACAAATTTGCCCCGGAGAAAAGATTCCCCCATGATAATGAACATGAATTTTGCTAATTATAATGTCTACAACTAAAACCCCTTTATTTATTTTACTTTCCCCATTTCTCCTTCCTTTTACGTCTCTCCCCCATGGAAATAATGCATGAGGTACCGTGAAAGCAAATAATATCTACTAATAAAGCAAATAATATCTACTAACAGTGAACTTAAATTGTTACCAATTGTATCGGAGTCAAACACTAGGTCCTAAGATGGTGGATTGTAAGATTCTACATCGGTTGGCGAGGAAGAATGAAACATTCATTGAAGAATGTGAAAACCTCTCCCTAATAGATACATGTTAAAACCATGGTGACAATATACCGGGCCAAAACAGATAATATTTATTACAATGATGTTTGACTGTTGCAAATGGTACCAGAGATACCCACCAAACAGAAATACCCAAAGAGTAGATTGTGAGCTTTCATATAAGTTGTAGAAGGGAACGAAAGAAGGGTGTGCAAACCTCTCCATTAATTCTTTTAAATTTTTTATAAACGTAAAAGGGTATTAATGTAAAAAGAAATAAAATATAAAACAAAAGAAAACAAAAGTGGGAACTTTGCATTAGTATTATACCTACTATGAATTAATAGTGATGATTATTTATATAGAAAAGCGATGAATAAAGGTTAATGAGTTGATTAAAAAAGCTAATTAAGCTTTGAAGGAGTTTAATTAAGTACAGTCATTGAAAGGCCTGACTATAATAATGAGCACTTGGTGTATGCAAAATGACGAAAGAATCTTAAAAAGAAGTGGAATTAAGTCGTTCATAACTAAGAAACGCCAACATTGTCCCAACCACTAATTAATTATATTGTCCCCTAAATGGATAGAAATGATTGCTCTATTTCTATATAGTCCTACTCCATTGCTTTCTGTCAATGACTTATTAAATTCAACTCATTAATTCTTACTTTCAAAGTTACATACACAATTTTTTTTTTTTATTAAAAAGTTAAAAAGTTCGAATTTTTATGGGCAAAGAGACAAGTTAAGGAATAGAAAAGCAGGGGAGCACAGAAATGTCTGTAAAATAATGATTAAGAGAGGGAAATTGTTGAAGATGATTAGTAATGATTAAGAAATGGAATGAAGATTTGAAATTTGGAACAGAGGAGGACAGGGGAAGAGAGAGAGAGAAGGGAAACAGGGGAAAGCAATGTAAAGGGTTGAGGGATATGAGAGAGATTTGTGGGGGTAGAAAGGGACAGGATAGACATCCCACCGGAAATACGGGCGAGCCGTACACAAATCGCTGTTTATTCAGTTTGTGATATTATAATAATGGTGGAATTTAACTAACCAATGCACTACGCACACTCTTCCTTACTTTTCTCTCTCTCTCTCTTCTTCTTCTTCGTCTTTCTGCTATACATCACACCTTGCAGTCGCAGTATTGCAGCAGCTGCAGTACTGCTTCAGTTCAGTCTCTGCAGAACCCCAGAGAGAGAGAGAGAGAGAAATGAAAACCCATTTCTCTTTTCTGTTTCTTTCTTGCTTTTGTTTTAATTCAAACATCAAATCCTGATTTGATATCCCCCAAACCCATTTCTCTCTAATTTTCATTCACCCACCACCACCAGGTCTCTTCTCTGTCTCTCTCTCTCTGTCTTCCACGAGAAAAAAGAAAAGAGAAATACGAAATTTGGGTGAGAGAGAAAAAGGGTGGAGCGAGACAGAGGTGTTTGTGTGGGTGTGAGATAGAGTGAGGGAGCGAGGTCTGTGTTGTTTTCTGAGCGAGACCCTCTTTTAGCATTAGCGAAGGTGCACCCATTTCTAAAAATGCAGGCATGAGCACTTCCTCCTCTTACCTCGCACTCTTTCTTCTTCCGTTCCTGAAACTTTCTGAAACCCCTCATCCTTTCAGCCTCCTATTTAACCTCCCTCTTTCTTATCCTTCTACTTTTATTATTGCACGCCTCTTCTTTCTTCTACGCATACCATTCAAATGGCTGCTCTTATCGATCTCAATACCACCGAAGAAGACGATGCTCCCTCCTCTGCTGCTTCCTCTGCTTCCTCTTCCTCTGCTTCTGCTTTAACCTCCTCCCCTTCGCCTTCTCTCACCTCCTCAATTTGCTTGGAGCTGTGGCATGCCTGTGCTGGACCTCTTACGTCCTTGCCCAAGAAAGGGAGTTTGGTTGTGTATTTTCCACAGGGCCACTTGGAGCAGATGCAAGAGTTCCCTGCCACGGCGGCCTATGATCTCCCTCCCCACATCCTCTGTCGCGTCATTGATGTTCAGCTTCACGTACGGGTATTTTCTTAGTTCTTTCATAATATATTCTGTTCAATTACTTGCTATTGAATTGGGATGAGTTTCAATATATGGGGTTTTACTTCCTTACTTTGAATGGGGTTTTGGTAAATCACAAACCGTATGAGAAATGTTCTTTTGAAGCAGGCTGAGGCTGGGAGTGACGAGGTTTATGCTCAAGTCTCATTGTTTCCTGAAAACGAGGTGAGTTTCTTTTTGCTCAAATTTTTATGTGGCTGTCCATAAAATTAAAAAAGATAAACCGAAAAGTTCGAAGAGGTTGATTTTGATGCCTGTGAATCAGATGAGAAGATTCTGTTTCTGAATGACATTCTTGTATTACAGCCCATTGAACACAAGATGCAGGAAGAGATGACCAATGACAGTGAGGGGGAGGATTTTGAAGGAAGTGAGAAGACCACAACACCCCACATGTTCTGCAAGACACTTACTGCTTCAGACACTAGCACTCATGGAGGCTTCTCCGTCCCCAGACGTGCAGCTGAGGATTGCTTCCCGCCATTGGTATCTGTCATTTCAATATGCTTCTATGGTTATCTCTTTCAATCAATAATGATCTCAAACTTTATTAATTCTGCAGGATTATAGTCAACAGAGGCCTTCACAAGAGCTAGTTGCAAAGGATCTCCTTGGGATAAAATGGAAGTTTAGGCACATATATCGCGGTATGAAATGCAAATCTCAGATATTTGGTGCCTTACTCACATTGGCTGTTTGTTTCCCCTATTACGTGCTACTGAGTTCCCTTTCTGGTTTGAGCAGGGCAGCCTAGAAGGCATTTGCTAACCACTGGATGGAGTGCATTCGTGAACAAGAAAAGGCTTGTTTCTGGTGATGCAGTGCTGTTTCTTAGGTATTTAGTAGTTGGGTGTCTGGTAAAATGAATTTGAGAGAAGCATATGCCTTGTAGGATTAACATATGACTTAACTTATAGGGGCAATGATGGGGAATTACGACTCGGGATTCGACGAGCTGCGCAGCTTAAAACCGGTTCTGCCTTTTCTAACATTTGCAGTCAGCAACTCAACTCCAGTAGTATCATGGATGTGGTTAATGCTATATCTTCAAAAACTTCCTTTAGCGTATACTATAATCCCAGGTATCTTATTACAAGGATCATGCTCTTTTAGTTCTCACCAATATTAATATTCTAATGGATTTTGTGTCTTTGCCTTTTTGTATTCAGAGCTACCTCTTCACAGTTTGTCTTGCCTTTCCACAAGTTCTTGAAAAGCATTAACCATTCCTTCTCTGCTGGAATGAGGTTCAGCTTGAGTTTCGAAACCGACGATGCTGCAGATCGAAGGTCTGCTATTTATGGTTTGCTGCTTTGTAGATAAAATAGGGTATTGGAATCTTCAATAACATTTCTTTCATACTCGTATCGCAGATGCACTGGACGTATAACTGGAGTTGGAGATGTGGATCCTATCAGATGGCCTGGGTCAAGGTGGAGGTCCCTTGTGGTATGAAACATTCTTTTGGAGCTTTTAAGATTCAAATGATTGTTCTTATCCTGCAAATGTTTTTTAAGAGTGTTGGTCTGCTTTAGCTTATTTTCGCATCTCCCGAACGAAATCTATGCTCTCTTAGGAGGAGTTTCGAAGCTTCTTCTTGATTGACAGCCTTTACTTTTAGCTCTATATACCTGGAAATCACTTCTTCATTAGTGTGAATATTTCTTAGTATCTTCATTTTGTTTGTTTGGAAGTTTTTTTCAGTAATGAATGTTGCATTCTTACATTTCTCATTACAGTGCTGCATGGTCTCTCTTCTTGTTTTTCTGTAAAACTTTGATATCATTGCTTCACATGGTAAAATCTGGTTGCGTTCCAGGTGAGGTGGGACAATGTCGAGACTAAAAGACATGGCAGGGTTTCCCCGTGGGAGATCGAGCCCTCTGGTTCTGTTTCTGTGGCTAGCAACATGGTTCCACCGGGTTTAAAAAGGACCAGGATTGGGCTCTCTCCCACAGAACTAGAGTTTCCAGCTCCGAGTGAGTCAGTCATTTGCACCAGAGATATATGTTTCTTTCAGGTCTCAGCTATCATTCATTGTTCTTCTGCTATTCCTTGCAGATGGAATTGGAGCATCAGACTTTGGGGAATCATTAAGATTCCAGAAGGTCTTGCAAGGTCAAGAAATTTTAGGTTACAGTACTCCCATTGATGGCGACAACAACATTCGTCATCCACCGGAGAAGAGGAGATCATTTCCTGGTTTACACGGTTCCGGGATAGCTATAATGAGAAATGGTCCAAGAATCCCAGTTACCAACTCTGAAACTTCCTCCCGGGGTTTCATGTTTGATGAATCCTTCCAATTCCATAAGGTCTTGCAAGGTCAAGAAATATATCCTAGTCCATTTTTTGGAATAGCCACTGCCACCAATGAAGTCAAGGCAAGTGGTGGTTATGGTCCTGTGGACAGTGTTCCACTGTCCAGATCTAAAGATGGATGGCCGATTACAATGCAGAGTGAAAATTTCCTCACACGCTCTTCCATTCCTTCTGTACAAGTCTCATCACCATCATCTGTGTTCATGTTTCAGCAGTCAATGGTTCCTGTTCAAAGCTTTAATTCATATAACCGTGGCAACTTCACAGAACAGAGGACTATGAACAAGAGTACCTCCCATAATTCTGGGACAGCTTTTATGACAACTTCATTGGGCGTGCAGAAGCAGCTCGCCCTATCACATCCTTCTACAACAGAACCAGCGTTTACTGGCAATAAAGCTGGATGTAGATTGTTTGGTTTTTCATTAACAGAAGGAAAGAATGTTGGGAATACAGACAACGCTTCTCCAGCAACAACTCCAATTAATGCAGGAACTGCCTCTGTGTTGTCCTCCAATAGTGGACTACGTTGTCCTTTGAAGTCTCCACTGATGAGCAAGGTGGTTGGAAGCAACTGTACCGAAGTAAGTAACTTATCTGCTCGCGCTGTATAGGCGATATATTTTACGCAAACATGATCGATTCTTCTGGATCGCTACATGATATCGACGTTTTTTTTTACCCGAACTCTAAGAGGGAAAGAATGTTGGTGTAAAAAGGAAGAGTATTCACCAGCCTGATAAAATTTGATCTGCATTGTGATGCAGGGGGCTGTCCAGTATCATTTTGCAAATTGCAGTACCTACTACTGAATGGGTCTGACTTATTTTGGGGAAACAAAAGAAGAATGCTGCCTAGTTTTTTATTTTGAATTTGAAAAAAAAAAGTTTTTGAGACGTTGATTCTGTTCGAGCTATCGTTTATCAAACGAATCGAACCGTTGGTGTTTATGTTGTATCTCAGATTACATAGTTCATAGATTATTAGCTCAATGTTTTTGTTTATTAAAGCCTCCGAATCTCGAGTAACCAGTACATAAACCAGGAACATGATTAAGAGGAACAGGATGAAGGAGAAAGGCCAACCTGGGGAGTGACCTGTGGCATTGCAGAAAAATGGTTAGATGGAGTTGTTTGATGTCTTTTTCGGACCAACTTAGTGGATAAAACGGCCCATCCTCCGCCTCTCCTTTTCCACGTGAACCTCACCACCTGCCCCCTTTCACCGGATTCTCAAAACAAAAACAAAAACAAAAACGCAATTTGATGGAAAATGATTAATACTGTTGGCTTTGGCTGTAGGATGTCATCAATGATGTAATAAGCACCTCTCTTCACCAAACAAAGCATATTAAATTTGACTATTTTTGGATAATGGATATGTACGTGTCCTATCCATATCCATATCCTCAGTAGTTCAGAAAGCTGAAGGCTACAAGTCTTAGGAAATGCGTTTTAAAATCATGAAACTGATACAATACATAACAGATAATATATATTAATGGTACTCTTGATTGGATAAAGACGAAGTCATTCCTATTCCTTAGTGGAAAATTTTGCATTTGCCAGCCGAAAGTAGAAGCGGCAGAAAAGATGGGTGAGCTGCGTAACCGATGATCCTTTCAAAACCACATGTGTACTCTTTAACTTGTGCTTAAAACCAATTAGCCCTTTAATCACGAAAGAACATTCTGGCACACGTCATCCAACCACTATTTGCCATGTCACCCTTATCTCATCTAATCAAACCAAACCATGCCATACCATACCAAAAGAAGCCCCCACATTAATTGATACCCTAATTTCCAAAATTACACATAATCCAACCACGTCACCGTCGTTTCTAAAACTGTAAAATGTCCCCATCCAAAAGGTAGAGATTTTATGGGTTGCTTTAGATACTAATCATCGTTAATTAGCACCTAATCAAGAGCTTTTACAGAACAGAGACAGATCGTCACCTACAGTTTTTCGTTGCGTACTAGATCGTGTTACCTGTGTTGACGCTTGATCTTTCCACACCCCAATATAAATAAATGCCCAATAATACCATTTTACCATTGTCTCTCTCTCTCTCTCTCTCTCAATTGGATCTTTCTTCTTTACCAAATTTGCATTATGCACCAAGCAATTCCGTACAGGACGTGGGTTCCAGCCGCCGTCGATACCTCCACTGCTGGGGCGGATGCGAGTGTCGAAAAGATAGTGTCGAACAACGCCGTGGTGGTTTTGGCCAGACGTGGGTGTTGTATGAGCCATGTTTTGAAATTGCTGTTGTTGGGCCACGGCGTGAACCCGGCCGTCTTCGCCGTCGGCGAGGAGGAGGAACCCGGTATTGCCGGCGAGATTGGGAAATTAGCAGCCGCCAGTGGTGAAGATGGGAACGACGGGAGTGTGCACTTTCCGGTGGTGTTTGTCGGCGGGAAGATGTTTGGTGGGTTGGAAAAAGTGATGGCAGCTCATATTTCCGGCGAATTGGAGCCGGCTTTAAAAGATGCGGGTGCTTTGTGGCTTTAAATTAAGTTGCTTCATTACTGAATTCTGTATTAAGTGCATTAAATTTCTGATTTCGAATCCTCCAAGTGGACGCAGAGCCGAAACTTCGTCACAATTTCCCTAATTTTTATTTTAAATTGATTATGATTTATTAAAAATTTAAAACTATTTGTATTGTTTTGTTAGATATAAATGATTTATATAGTTAAAGATAATAGAATATAATAAAATCTACATTAATCAGTTGTGGATGAAGGCCTAGGCCCATTAGCTGACCTTGACGATTCAGTAACGTTAAATTGGGCCTTTGGTTTGGGCCCATTACACAAATGGGTTAACCTAAGATTGGGCAATAAATGGGCTGTTGGGCCTTTAAATAAGGAAAATATTCCGGAGCCGGAAATTCTGTTTCGACATAAACGAAATTAGAGGAAGAAAATTGCAATAAAAAAAAGACAATGTGAGAAGCATTTATGGGCAGCTGCCAGCCTAGCCTTTTTATAACCACGCTGTCTCATCGGCCCGAAGGAAGTTTGAAGTAAATGACTGAAAAGCCCCTGCCGTACTGCTCAATGTTGCTATGCTAAATGGTAATTTCGTACTTGTTTACACTTGGGGGCACTGGAAGAAGAAAGTCTCGGGCGACTGCTTCGGCTTTTCCCTCCGCGATTTCAAAACGCCTCCGATTCCCACTCTTACACTCACTAACATAATATAGAACGCATAGAGAGCTAATTCTCATTCATTTTTCTCTCCCTACTTGAAACAAATTTGTGGGGAACGCGGAGATTTTTGTTCTTTCAAGATTGTGTTGGGAGAAGGGCGCGAAATTTGATTGAAAGAGGCGGAAAGGAAGAAGATGATAAAGTTTTTCAGAGGGAAAGATAATTCCGCCGATGTTTCCTCTCCGCAGTCTCCTTTGCCCTCTCTTACGCCCTCGGCGTCTTCCTTGTCATCGTCGGTGACTGGACCGGCCAGGCCTATTCGCCTTGTTTACTGTGATGAGAAAGGGAAGTTTCGGATGGATCCTGAAGCTGTCGCCACTTTACAGCTCGTAAAAGAACCTATCGGTGTCGTCTCCGTTTGTGGTCGTGCTCGTCAGGGCAAGAGCTTCATTTTGAATCAAGTTAGTCTCATTTGCTCTTTATTTTGTGGGGGATAGATTCTGCAAACTAGTTTTCATTATTTTATGGGTTCTTTCGAAATCTAGGGTTTTCTGAATTTTGCAAGGTCAAAGTTTTGTGAGGACTTGCACTTGTTTAGTTTGTTTCTGTAGTTGCTGCCTTTGATTAGGTAGCTCTGCAGAGCAACGTGTGAGCTAGAATTCAAGATTACTACTGTGTAAGTGCGAGGAAGTGATACATATGTACGTGCAAGAGTTCAAGGTTGCCTTTTAACTTTTAAAAGAGGAAGACGAATTGTGTTCTTCATGGAGGAAGGAGTTTAATCTTCTTTTTGAACTGCCTTACTCGAGTGGGTGGTGTGGGTCTTTATCTTACTGAACGGATGTGTGTACTTTATAGAACTCTGCTACAAAATTGGATACTCTAATGCTAGATTGTTCAGCTGCGAAATTGTGAGAGGGCACTTAACGGGGTTGGAAAGTCTAGGATTTGAAACTTACGTGTGGATCATGTAAGGAAATGGATTCAGATGCTCGAGTTTATGTTGTTTTTTTTTTAATTTTTTATTATTATTATTATTTTTTAAAATTTTGTGATTTGCAATGGTAGGCTTGTAGTACAAAGTAAGAGTTTATATAGCTTAGATTTATGTAGCTCGGGGTATTGGCAAAGTCATAGCATAGAGTTCGCAAATCTATATACCAAACATATTCTTTTCAACTCCAAGCTATACAAACTCAATTTTTGAACCGAACGCCCCTCAACATTCATATCTCTTGCTTGTGATATTTATGTGGACCCCTGTATGAACATACATTTCGATTTTTGTAGGTTATTCTCTATTCATAACAGTTGGTTTTGTCTCTCACGACACACTGATGCAATTTCTTGTACTCTTAGTATCACTTTAGTTTGTATGAAGAGGGAGTTATCTGTAAAACATACATGGTATTTGTTGGAGCACTTAGCTGTTCTTCATGCGCATGTAATGTAATTTTGTGGACTTACAAACAACTCTTTTCTTTTGAAGCTTCTTGGGAGGAGTAGTGGATTTCAAGTAGCATCTACCCATCGGCCTTGTACTAAAGGTCTCTGGTTATGGAGTACACCCTTGAAAAGAACTGCCCTTGATGGAACTGAGTACAATCTCTTACTTTTAGATAGTGAAGGAATTGATGCTTATGATCAAACGGTATGACTTCAATTCATTATTCAATGTTGATTCAGGTTGTCAATTGTCTATTTGACGTGACATTGATACGAATGATGACACTATTGGATTTGAAGTTCTTTGTGTATTGAGCTTCAATTATGCTTCATATAAAAATTTATAGTGATTAAGTTTTCCTCATTTTAAGGTGTAATATTACAAATCTCATTTGGTATCCAATTTAATTCACCTAGCTTTCTTATTTCTTCCTTACTCTTTTTACAGGGAACATACAGCACCCAGATTTTTTCTCTTGCTGTTCTCTTGTCTAGCATGTTTGTCTATAATCAGGTAGGGGAACTAATGTTGATCCTTATCTTTTAGAAACCCATCTTTTCTGAACCTGTGAATTGCACATTTCCTCTCTTTAATTGGAACACGATACTAAAGTAATTTTCTTAATGCTCCTCTCGTTGTTGCTTTATAATTTGTACCATTTTCACAATTTCTGTATGGAACTCATATTTATCAATCTGTTCAGATGGGTGGAATAGATGAAGCTGCACTTGACCGTTTATCTCTTGTCACTCAAATGGCCAAACATATTCGTGTTAGGGCCGCTGGGGGCAGAACTACATCTGCTGAACTTGGTCAATTCTCTCCAATCTTTGTTTGGCTTCTAAGGGTACAGTGCACTTCTATACCATTAATATTCATAAGTTGAAAACTTCGTCCCAAGTGCATTCAAACATTAGGACATGCTCTTTAATTTATCTCTGCAATGTGCATTTTATTATTATGACAATTTTTTTTTCCCTGTTTGAATGACTTCTTAATTTAAGACCATATCCTCTTTATTACGTTAAATCTTCTTTTTGGTGCTTGTTTTAAATATTTTGTGGTCTACCTAAAAGTTCTTTCATACCTCATTATGTTAGATCCTGTATTTGTAATAATTTTTTAAAATCTATTTTCTATTATATTGTGTGGTCTTCTCTAAAACGAGAATTACTTGCAGGACTTCTATTTGGATCTAGTAGAGGATAATAGGAGGATTACACCTCGTGACTATCTTGAGCTTGCATTGAGGCCGGTTCAAGGTAGTGGAAAAGACATAGCTGCTAAGAATGAGGTATTAGATGGGCATTATCACCTGTGTGGTTTGATGAGCTTGTTTGTACTGTTATTTTGACTCTCACATGTTCTAGGTCTAGAAAAGATGGAAAAAGTTACTTTTGTTTAAGTTACACAAATTCTTTTAGGAGTTGCTTACGAAGCTCATATTTTTTGTTAATTCTAGCACTCCCTCTCTGGAAATCCACATCAAATTTATAACCTCTGTTTATTCCTTTAATTTCATTTCTTGTTTTTTAATAGATTTTTATGCTTATAACAACTACAGATGAGTAGTGTTTCTTCTGTTCTAGATGGACGTCACATGTTTTATAAAGTTTAGGAAACACACTTCTTTCTTGGTTCCCAGATGTTCCATTTGAGTGTATATTAATTAATATGTTTGTTTGGGCTGACAATCTAATTTGTATTTTCATCCATTTACCAACAGATTCGTGATTCCATTCGAGCTTTGTTTCCTGATAGAGACTGCTTTACCCTTGTGCGTCCTCTAAATAATGAAAATGATCTCCAAAGACTTGATCAAATTTCTGTAAGTAACTTAAGCTTGTGGATTGTTTTGCATAATTTTTCTTTTGGAGCCAACTTTAACCGAACATCCTTAACATTCTGTGTTGATGCAGTTAAATAAACTAAGGCCTGAATTTAGGTCTGGACTTGATGCATTTACTAAATTTGTCTTTGAGAGGACAAGGCCTAAGCAAGTCGGAGCAACTGTTATGACAGGTCCAGTTTTGGTGGGCATTACAGAGTCTTACCTTGATGCTCTAAACCATGGTGCAGTGCCTACAATAACTTCCTCGTGGCAGGCTAGTATATCTTATGAACTCTTGTGTAAAGCACTTTCTGGAAATGTGTAAGAAGTATTTTTTTTTTCTCTTTTCTGAATAGGAATGTTTGGGTATCTGCGTTGTCTTGTATTAATATCTTATTATCAGCTGACTTGGGCGCACAACTAAAATTGGAGGGAAATTTTATATATATGCACACATTTCTATCCTTTCATTGAGATTTATTGAATCTGTTATGTGGACTGCGAACATGTGAGAAATTGTTGCCTCTTTTAGTGAAAGAGGATAGCATCGAATTAGAAGATAATTTTCATCCATATCATTAATTTGCAGAGTGTTGAAGAAGCTGAGTGTCGAAGGGCATATGATCATGCTGCTGAAGTGTATATGTCCACTTTTGACCGGACAAAGCCACCAGAAGAAGTAAGTGTAAATTCTAACTTGCATTCCCATTAGAGATGTTTATGTTGCTAGATAACATTTTTTTCCCTGCAGGCAGAATTGAGGGAAGCACATGAAACAGCCGTTCAAAAATCACTTGTTGCATTTAATTCGGGTGCTGTAGGTGCTGGTCCAGTGAGGAAAAAATACGAGGGACTACTGGAAAAATTTTATAGAAAAGCATTTGAGGTAATAAGTATTGTGAATCTTTTAATTCTATGTTCTTGCTAACTGTGGAGGGGCAATTGGAAATGCGACTTTGTAGAAATCGAACTTAGATGAAAAAGCATCAAGTGATGCCTCTAACATTTGGTTTGAGGTGGCTCAAGTTGGAATGGCAACTCGATACTTGAGATGGCAGTCTTGCGTATGCCTTTTTGTTAAAGGAAAGGCTCTTTAGGAAGTTGGATTTTTCTTTATTATATAGAAATTTTTTTTGAGAGTCTGGAGATTTACACAGGGTGTAAGGGAATTTTGGGAG